TATATATATATATATATATAAATTAAAATGAAAGAACTTTATGATCGACTACAAGGCATCACTTAAAAGTAGATAAAAGTAAAAGCATGTTTGGCTGAGCTTAAAAAGTTCATGTATAAGCAAACTTACAAATAAGTCAATGAGTTTTAAAATAAACAAAAAAAATTTATTGGTTAAAATTGGAAATCATTAGTTATTTATTTTGACAAAGTTAGAGGTGCTTTCAAAATATTAAGTCGTACAGTTTTTCAGGATTGATATATTTTGCAACTGCATGCAACAGAATTGCTAGCTTTATTTGAAACGACAATGTTAAATCTCATCAGGATCTATGATTTTCAAGTTCAGAAAATGAATACTATAATCGGCCACCTTGTACTTGTCCAAATTTTTGAGGTAGATTGTCAGTGCTCCATGCCCGCCCATCGAATGACCAAAGATAGATGCTCGTGATGTATCAAGCTGTGGAAAATTTTCAGTAAGAAGTAATGGTAATTCCTTCACAATATAGTCATACATCTGCCAATTCTTCCACTTCTCTTGTGTCGCATTGAGATAAAACCCAGCACCTGGTAAAAAAAAGTAGTGAAGCTCCGTCAAACTAATAAACAGCAAATGAGTAAAATCGATTAGTTAGAGCACGTTCAGTTTGTTATAGTTTGCAAACACAGATGCATTGTCAGATATAGTTCGCTTACCATTTTTTCCTGTACCTATAATTCAACATTCAAAGCTGTATGTTGCATGTGGTAGGAGGCATTTGAAATTCAAAGCCCATATACTGTGATGAAATGTCAAGAACAAATTGGTTTTCAAATACATTAACAGTTTCATGGATTAAACCCTAATCTCTACTTCCAATAGCAACAATAAACAGAAAAACAATCTGAAAATGAACAAAGCACACATTTATTTATGAGTTCACTATTACGTCTACTCGCGGCTGAGGTCTTATCTATAATGGAGGAGATTACGAGGTCTCCTTACACGTAAGTCTTAACTGATCCTTTATACCGTAGGAATATTAGAGGACATACAATACAAGGATGACTTCCCAATACACTCCTATATTAGGTAAATCAGCAGTCCAAGGAATACGTCTACAATGTGCTCAGGCTCCAAACATTCCAACAAACAGAGTTGTAACTTCTTCATAGGCAGACATGTAGCCTGCTAAATGAGATATTTTCTAACACGTTTATCTCAAGTTGAGATAGGCGTCAAGCTCCGTATAGTTAAGCTAAGCACGTCAAATTGCTGACACTAGACTCAGCTTGCTTACAATTCTGTGCATTGACATCATGATGAAAAGAAATATGAGAAAGCAACTTTTACACATATCAAGACCAGGACTTACAATATGGAAAATCATCTTCCAGTAGTAAATGTATACTCAAATCCAACCTTGCCCACAACCAGTTTGAAACAAAACCAACAAAAGGTGTCTATTTGAAGACTATGTTTCATATTTTAATCCCAATTTCTGCACAATGATTTTTAAGTTCAAATTCAATTTTTTACCCTCTTCATTGAGCCAGTCTATTATCGAAGTAACTGGGCTAGGCAGATCAAGAAGTGCTGATATAAAAATTGATTCCATGATACATACCGACGCCAAAATCCCAGCTGTCTGATTCTCCTTCAACATTCAAGCCTCCTGCAATTACAAACTGGTGATAAGAAGTCTCTCCTGGACATGCAGAACCACGATAAAGCTAAGATCAAGTGAGTTAATAGATCACTAACATTCGAAACCTAAAAACGTGTGAACATGAGCACAAATCATCATTTGAATGTGAACTCACTTCCTCACATATTTATCATATATCTTTAGCCAGAGGAAGTTACCATAACATGCTGTAAGATGGCAGTGCCTTTTATTCTCCAGAGAGCAAAATAGTTTGATTGCTAAATCACCATATTGGAACTCAGGCAACCAAAATTACTCTTGACTAGTAGCTTTGAGCAATAAAACCCGAATTTTGTAGCCAAATACCAATTTGAAAACTGACACACACAATTTCCCTAGGTAGATAGTGAGGAATGCCAGTTCTGCACACAGGCATTTACTCAAGCACATTGAAGTAGTCTAAGACTGGCAGAATTGTAGCAAGGCTGCTCACTTTTTTCTCAAATATTGAATCAAATTAGGTTTTAAGCCCCGGTTTGATTCTCATTCTTTGAAAAAAATACATTCTTAAACAGTGTTTTGACATCATTCCAATCACAAATTATTCAATAAATAAAATTACACGCAAATTCAAAACTTTTTTTTATTTTTTAACTACACATTTTCTATCAATACACTGTTCAAAATTTCATTCTTATCAAAAGAATGGGGCTCAAACAAGGGCTAAGTCTCGAAAAATTTGCATTTCATCAGGTAATAAGAGCGCGTTGCTGATTTTCTAAAGTGATGCCTTTATTTAGTCATTACATAATTAAAAGAGAACATATATCAATTAAGCCGACTCACTTGGAGAAGTATCCGGGGCAATCAGCGCAACACCCTCACTTGAGGCAACACGCTGAGCACCAGATTTGGCTATAAAGTTCTCATCCGTGCACGTTAGGCCGGAAAGCCAATAAAGTACCTGTGAATAATTAAGAGAACCAGCCCAGCAGGTTAACCAAACACGGCTACAAGTTCTATGCTGATATTATCCACATTTCACCACATCAGCTAGCACAATCAAAGAATTAATTACTATTATAAATACTGAGAAGTTATAGGTATTGCACAGTTTCTATTGTTTAAATACTTCAAAAGAAGATCATGCAGCCAGGATGGTCGAAGAACATTGGTCACCAACAGATCAATTCGCCAAATACATGCACACGTCAAAAAATATTCCCAAAGTTAATTTTGAAATTTTACTTGCATTTATCACTTTTGCGTGGGATTATACAGCATAGATAGTGACTTCAAGATGCAATCATTGTACTTACTACACAATAAGCAATGATCAATTATTTTTAAACAGCATATTCAGCACCCCAATTAAGAATCAATTAAATCCTAACTTACCCAAAAAAGAAAAAAAAGAAAAAAAAAAAACCCTCATGCAAACAAAACTCAGTCATACTTGCAAGAATCAAGAATCAAGAACCCAGAAAGAAACCCATATTAACCAAACCAATCTCAACATAAAAAAAATAAAGATCTTAACAATCCAAGCAAAATATCAATTAAAAATCGAATCTTTATGGGTATTTATTCAAAACAGAAAAAGAAAAAAAAAATCAAGAAATGGGCATGCGAAAAAACAGAAAATAATTGGTTCCTGAAGATCATACTGGAAATTTGTGAGAAGGGGAGGATGAAGGAGGAAAGTAGATATGGAAGGTCATGGAACAGCCTAATGTGGGACTGAAGTGTTTGTATCTCTTGTTGTGTCCATCAAACATTTTTGCGCTGCTGATTTCTGTTGGCTTCTCCATTTTCTGCACACAAACAATTCTCTCTCTTACTCTCCCTGGAAGTCTCTCCGGTATACTGATCCTGAAAGTGGCACGATAGGATGGGAAATAAGTACATTAGGGGTATACCGGGAATTTAACAGAATGATCAGTCACTCTTATTCTCGTCATATTGCGGAATACCCCCTCTTTTTCTCTAAAATTCATTTTAAGTACCTAATTACCAAAATCTGTTTCACTTCTACCTAAGGACTTGTTTGGTAGAGCTTTTAAACCAATTAAAATCAATTTTGTGACTGCTATTTTACTATTTCAACCATCATTTTTGAATTCTTTTTTCACAGGTAGGACCCACTTTATTTCTAAAGGTCAAAAAATCAATTATCAAAATCCCTACCAAACGAGCACTAAAATTAATTTGCTTTTCCTTTTATTTTAAAACGAGGAAGATTGATCTTATTGTAATTATCTATATCAAAATTCAATAGCTTGTTGCTTAGAACTCTTCAATTTTGCAAAACACCAGCTCATGCAATTATCTAGAGTTTACTTTCTATATTATCATCTGATAGCTTTACGATATGCTAACACGACATTCTATCACCATCACCATTAATAGTGTAAGCATGAACATAGTAGAAACTATTTTTCTGTCAAGAGTCAAAGAAAATACTCAAGCCTAATAGTGAGAATGAGAGAGAACTTAGGATAACTAAGTTAGAGATGTCAAAATATGTTGGATTGCTAAACTCGATCAATCCCTCCAATGCACAACATGGTCCACCCCATGGAGCAGGGAAGTCACGGACCTGGCTGTAGACGTTTCACATTCCATTTGGGCTTATATTTGAAAAATTAAAAAGAAGACAACTTCAACAAAAAGGAAGTGAATGCTTTGCACCGTTCGAGCTTTGTCGGATGCGCAAAGTCTCATTGTATCAAAATGTCGTGACACGACTCGATTAACACCTCTAAACTAGGCTGATCATTAGATTTACTTAAGAATACAGTACAAATGGAGAGGTTTCCCAAGGCAAAAGTTATCCATTTCTAGAGATTGGAACTGAAACAATATCCAGGTATATATATTTGGTGAAAAGAGATTCAAAAGTTCGATCTGAAATATTCAAACCCACAATAAACAAGTGCTTGATGCAGAGAATCAAACAGTGTAAATTTTCACTGGTACTTCTACTTTTATATGCTCATCTATCTCTTATTTCTTCCACCATTGCACATCAGATTTCAGTCAAGGCTGCCCCCAAGAAGTGAAGGCCTGTAGAAGACATGGCTCTGTGCAATCTCAATGCGATCACGGGGATCATTCAGGTTCTCATCCTGTAGCGCTTGAAGAATACCCCTTGTTCCTTGTTCCCTGTAGATTGATTCAATACTCAGTAAGCAGAAATTCGAGTTTTGCAATATTGAAATATGTCTTGCATGTAGTGAGTCCAAGATTGCTGTCAGGACTAAAATAACGGTCTATTCCGATGTTTTTTATTAGTCCACCGGAAAATTAGTTCACAAAGTCATTCACTTTTGAAGGCCTCAGGTATATTTTTTTCCTTAAATACAAAAATATATAATAAGAAGAAAAGGTACCTGGTGATTAGAATTTTATACAAAGTCCTTAAAATTGGACACAGCTCAACTGGGGCAACTGGCTTGTTTGCTTCAGGGTGCAATACATTTAAACTTGACTGGCTTAGAAGTTCATAAAATGCTCCAACTGCAGAAACTCCCTGGTTTTGGAAAAAGAGAGGAAATAATAATTATTTTCTATTGTGATACCAGCTTGAAAGAGTTCCAACTTGTTTCAAAACAAAAATGTCACTAAAATAATATTTAAGCTTAGCTAAAACATGCTCTAAATCATCGTATGCATAATTAGGAATATGATATAGACCTGAATAGTTCCTTTTCCGCTGATGCTGTCACCCATATCTAGGCTTAGTTCTCCCTTGGCTATCATTTGACCATACCATGCATTACGACCTTTCAACAAGGTTACATAGGTATCAGCGAGCAAAGGTCCTGCAAGCTTCTCGGGTTCTTCAGCTAACAAATGAGTGATAAATATCATCTCGGATGTGCAATGTGCAAAATATACTGATTTGCTCGTAGCACTTTCATTTGTTAGAGCTGCTACCATTCCTGAGCAATAATGTTGAGAAAACATCAGAAGTTGATGTTATGGATTATACGCTAATTCCTTCTTTCAAGATCATTCATAATACTAAAATAGGCAAAGCGTGCAAGTTTATAATGGTTTCATTCATTAATATACAGTCAAGCATGAGTTATGATGAATGTGTGCAATCTCAGTGTCAGGGAAATCAAGCATGCCTCAGCATATTTCAAGAGTTACCCTGCATTCAACCGAGTGTATAGGATAATTGATAGATATTTAGGCCTTTTACTCTCATAGTCGTTTCAGCCAATGAATAAAGTTAAGTTTAAGAATCAAAAGTGTCAAAGTTGCAAGAGGTTAAAAAAGAAGAAGAAGAAGAAGAAGAAGAAGAA